TCCCTCTCTGGGGTTGGGGGTGCTCACTGTAGTTCTAAGTTTTATGCTTTGTTTTGTAACTGAGAATCTTTTAGTATTAGCTGCAGATTTGTTAAAGGCATTATGTTTTGTTTTGATTAACTCACTTGGCTCATTTCTGTCATCACAGAAGGGGAAAAAAAACTATGTGCCAAAATTCTATGCCTCTATCCCTAACAACAACAACAAAAATCTTACAGTACTGCTGCAAAGATTAGTCCCAGCTGGGTTCAATGATAAACACTGGCTGGGTCTGTACTAAACCACCCTGTGCAAAAGCTATGTAGCATTGGTTGTTCAAAGAATAACGTACAGTACACCCAGCTATGGGTTGTTCTCTCTTCCTACTCTTACAGTTTTTCAGCCAGCTCTAGCACATATCCCAGGTGCTTTTGTGGTAGAAGCTGATCCCATGATCCTTTGCTCCCTCACGACAGTAGCATTTGTACTATTTGTACTGATTCCCCCTGCCAGGACATGATTTTCCTTTTCCAGCCCCTTCCTTGTGTCTTCAAGTGCTAGCTTATATCTCTAGTAAGAACTGTAAAACCTTTCATGCCCTGTGGTTTTTTTCATTAGTGTGCTAAAACCGTCAGTTGCTTGTGCTGCCTCTTTTATTCATCCAGTTTCTCTCAACCCACATCCCCTACCTGAAGCAACTATCCCTCCTCCACTCTCTGTCTGTCAGTAGTGGATTAAGGTCACCACTGCAACCATTCTGAGCCCATCAGTGAAGGAGAGCCGACTCACCCTCTGTCCCGTCTTTGTTGCTTCTGACATGGAAATCTAACAGAGCATACACTAAGTCTTCTACTGAAGCCTCTCTCTTTCTCCCTTCGTTGCTGCTGTGCCACCACTTCCACTGCAGCAGTCCATGCTTTGTCCAAGAAGACCCCCAATGTGTTGTTTATCGAGAAACAAAAGTATTTGGCAGCTTCTGCTGAACCTTCTGTTGTGACTTTGGAAGGTACCAGAAGACACCGATGTACAAAGCATGTCAATGGGTCACATTGCTGATTATCTTCCTCCAATTTAGCCAGGGCCCCAGATCTGGAGAGATCTTGTAAGATGAGTGATGACAAGGATGGGATCTATGGTACTATCTGAAGAGCAAAAAAGCAAACTTTGCAGACTGTAGCTGCTAAAGTACCTCCAAGAGCTGTTTCTGCATGGAATACTAATTTCCCCTGAAATATGCAGATTATACAGAGCTGTCTGATCTGGGCAAGTAAGAACTACTTTGCTAACAAATGAAGTGTCTTAGAATGGTAGAGCTGGATGGGGCCAGAGGGTCATTGGGTCCAAGCCCCTGCTCAATGCAAGAGCTCACATTAAACCATCCCTCTCAGATGACTGCATCTTGTCAAAAGATGGCAGGATGGTACAAGCTGCCACAGAGCAATACGTTGCTGGGCAAACCCTGGGAAGCCATATTGTTCACAAGGAGAGGAGCGGTTCTCTTCAAGGACCTGCCTAAGGACTTGGTGGCACAAGTCCTCCAAGCCGTGAGCCAACAAATCTCCTGTGTTTGGGTAACACAATAACCCTAGAAGAAGTCATGGGTGGCTTGTTTGTAAAAATTAAGTCACCCGTTCTAGATGCACTAGGTTTTGACAGTATGAAAGCCATAGCAGTGAGCTGCCCGTGACGGGCTGTTCTGTCATGAAAAGCAGGCCCCTCTCTTATTAGATGTCAGATGAAACAAAGCCAAATACAGATTCAGCTGATTCCATCAGTAAGTACATATATAACACAGTACAATGGAAAGAAAAGGTACCTTTTAATAGTTTTGTAGGGGGCAATTGCTAGGCATGCATGTCCTGCCACAAAGATGAATCTTTGTCCATATCCTCTACTAATTATTCAAGGGAAAGAGTGTACATATGTGCCCATGTTTTCTAAACAGTGAAAGTGTTATGCTTTTGAAATAAAGAAGTGACACCATTCGATCCTGCCCTGTAGTCCCAGATAGGATGGGCTGCAGTTATTCAACATTGGCTGAAATGCATATACTCTTATACAACAGAATCCTTCCAAGAGTTGGAAGGAGTCTCATAAACCATCTGTTCTAACCTTCCTCTAGGTATAGCTCACCCAGACTTAGCGCAACCTCAACAAAAGGTTCTTCAGTTTCAGATTGAAGGAGGCAACCCTCCCCTGCCCAGTAATTGTTGCCATTATGTAACTGTACCTTACTGCTAAGATAAACTCCTGATGCTTAAATGAAATCTAACTTCCTGTAAGCCCACTAGATATAGTCTTGCCCTCTAGGGCAGCAGGAAATATTTCAGTTCCTCTGTGAGTCCTTCAGGTATTTGAATACAGAGTTCTTTCCAGCATTCAAAACTGTCTCAGAGAGTAAGCTCTAGCTTAAATTAAGTGGCATCTAAAGAACTTCCCAGTGCAAATGTGAATCACAACTAGCTAAACACTAGTTACTACAGCTTAGAGGGGCACCCTCTCCAAAGGGTGCTCTTAGACCTGGATCTCTGGACAGAAACCACAGATCCAGAATTGGAGAGCACCCCTAGCTAAAAATTCATCTTAACATCTCCACAACTACATGCACTTTTGAAAAAATACAAAGTGATAATACTGGCAACTGAAGGACACACAATATTCACATAAAAGAAAAGGAAAATTGACTAGCCATATGCTCTGCTGCCAATTACTTCAGTGCTTTGTCTGTTTTCAGTTATCATAATTTCATTTTATCCAGAACCCGCCTTGTCTAGTATGTGATCTAGCTCTAGGTGTCTATCAAATCCTTCCCTATATTGTAATACAAGAATCTCCTCCAGTCTCCCCCTTGCTGGTTTAGGATCCTCATACCTGATTAATATAATATTAATCTTCTTTTGGATTGTCAGCTTCCTGGTATTAAGGTTAGTGAATTGTTTGTGGGGGATTCTCTTCTTTTGTCTAGCTCCATCTCAGACTTAATTAATGGGTAGTTTTAAATCTGGATACCAAGTATAAGTGAGCCATAACTAGGTGATTTTTTTATTTGAAAGGTGAATGCCCTGTTTCTTTTCCTGAAATTCTTCACAAGGGGGAAGGGCATGGAGCAGGAAAGATCAACATTTGGACTTAGTGAATCATGAGGGCACTAATGTTTTAATGGTGGTGGTGAAACATTTGCTTTTGAATTGGCAATGTGGATTACTGAAGGAAATACTACCAGATAAACTCTGACCACAAAAGGTTTGCATTTAGCTAGCTGCTTTTAGTGCTTAATTACTAAGGCTGCTTCTAGGCACAAGGCTCCTAGTATTACCCATCAGAAGGAATTGTACAGCCATTCCATTTTATTTTCTCCCAAAATATTTTCTGTGGTAAGAAAAAAAGGGGGGCAGCAATAGGAAAACAAGGGGGAGCTACAAGTATATGATGATTATATTTAGATACCCTCCACCCTAAAAGTCTGTGAATGAGAAAGGGCAATGGTGCAAATGTCCCAGAAGCAGCTAACTGGAGTTTCTGCAGTAGTTCACTCCCAAATTTCCCCCAGGTTGCTTGAAAGGACATTGCAGCCTGAAGTGCAGCTACCTCTGTCCCAGTTGACAAAAATAGTTGGGTGGACTGACCTTTTGCAAGCCATGCAACACAACATGGAATAGCCACTAAGACAGAGTAAAATATCCTAAACTATTCACCAAAGTATCAGTGTATTACAAAGAAGTAAATATACTCTACTGCTAAGACATGGGATTGAAATATTGGTGTTTGAAAGCACCAGTCCTTTTGTATCTTCTGTATCTTCAAGGGAAAAAGTGAGGGCATGTCTGCAGCATAAGTAACACATTATATTAAACCTCCCTTTAGATATTTGAAAAAGGGTTTATATATTAATTCCTCAGAAAATAGTCTTTGCACTCCTGCCCCAGCTCAAGAAACAAATGCTCATATGGAAGTGCTAGAATTACAGTCCAAGGGACTATTGTCAACTAGACCATTGCTCCAAAGGTGAGAACTGAATTCTTAGGAAGGGACCAAAAACTACATGCCGCTTTACAAAGTCTATCTATTTAAACCCTGATGATTAACATACACTTTTGATTATACAGCTTGATTCTTTTAAAAAATATCTGCTTCCCCCACATTAATCTGATGCAACCTCTTTTTTGACCTTGAAGACAGGGTCTAGTACATGTAGATGCTGGGATCTTGAAATCCCTACAGAGAGACTGCAATTGCTAAGCCTTTCTCGGAATTCAAATATAGTGCAGTGTGTCTTTGTAGAGAGTGCAAACACCATTCAAGAGGCTCCAAACTTCTAGGCTGCATAATTTCAGATGTTACCATTTAATGTATACAAGTGAAAGAAGCAAAATGCCTTTCATTTGCTTGTTCTTTTTGCATAAATAAATGTTTTGGCTTGCTTCATACAGGATGACCCTCAACTGCTAAAGCTGGAACTGAAAAACAGCTGCACTGCACTGCAGCCTCAAAGCATCACACAGCCAACCATAAGCTTTAGGATTCAAATGGATATGCACAGTTATGCAGAGGGCAGCATACCATTTTATTCAAATGAAAAGCTATGAGGAAAGGCATCTCATTAGTGAGGTAAGCTACTTCATATATTGTTCAAGTTAACCACTGATTTCTCTCTTTTGTACACTGTATCTTAATAATAATCCATTACCATGTATCTGTGACATGGTGGTATTTGCTAAAGGATGTGTTTTAGATCATATTTGTTCTGCAGTAAGGCAAGTGTATTTTCTATCTAAGACAACTGTTTACTTACTGATTTCAATATGCATGCAATTTAATTTGAGCAGAAAATGTTTCAGTCTCAGAAATCACTGGGGGGCTGCACACTGAATAACCTCAGTTCAAATCTAAAAGCATTCAAAGTTTCAGTGTTCACAGTACACAGTAGCAATAGCAAATACAGCTAAAATACAGGTATAGATGTAGCAAATCAGATCATTTCAATACAGCATTAAACTGTAGTTTAAATTAATTTTACTTACCGTGGATATGGATAATTCTGTCATGCTCCAGAGTAAAGTTGGCAGCAGTATGATCAGCCCAACAGAAAGGAATCAGCACCAGGAAAAGTAGGCTCTTCATCTTTTATAGCCCAAGACTCTTCTTCACTGTGAGAGTAGCACATATAAAGAACCTGGTGAAATTTGGAAATCTTAACAGTGATGCACTGCACAACTTGTTACAGCCCAATCATTCTCTCATGGCTCCGGGAAGATTTAACCCACTCTGCTTGAAAAGTTATAGGAGCAGATGACTTTGAGAAACATATTATAAAAGATTATTACCTTATCAGGGAGTTAGTTGCATAGACTATTAAATGGTATTTAATCAGCTGAAATAGGAAACTGAACAACTCTGCCAATTAAAATTAGAACAAATGGAAACATGCAGTTAACATCTCCAGATGCAGTTAACATCTCCAGATCATAAAAATAACCAATTATTGTGATTCTCAAATCTTAAATGGACTTTGATTTCTTTGTCTGCTTAGTACTATGAATTTATTCTATTTATGTCCAACTGTATCTCTGATAGAGTATGCACTGTAATGCATCTAATACAGCCATTTTTGTATTCTAGATAACTTAGCACACAAGTGTGATGCCATCATCTAATCTAGGGAGCCCACTGGCCGAACAGCAAAGGGATACTTTATTTCAGGCACACTTACCATTTTAGAATCTAGTCTATAGTGAAATGTTGAAAACCATGCACAAAGTAGGTTAGAGTTGCATGTGCTACCACTGCAGTTGCCCTGATTGATTTTTCATTCATTTCTGTCTAGAATGCTGACGCACTAAATTTCATGCCAGGTAGGGTCTCTGCAGTCAGCAGAGCTGCTGAGCCCTGCAAGGGAAATCTCTGCCAGCCTCAGAGTAGTAATTAAGCAAATGAAGACTGAAAATAGACAGGAAGGCACAACATTTAAGCACAGAAAGTTAACACTGTCACATTCTTTAAAGAAATCATTTTCATAGTTCAACATTCTCATTCTTTTTCTCTCCCTCCCTCCCTTTCTCTCCTTTTTAAAATGTGCTTAGAAATAATTTATTGTGGCCAGAAGACACTCTGCAGATAAGAAACAACAGAGCCTATAAAGAAACTGGAGACTGTCTTCTCTTTTTGTATTTTCACTGTAACTTAGGGTCAATCTAAAGCAAAAGTACAGTTCGAACCCTCCTAAATTTGGAGGTAAGGAGGGCATCAATAGCTGGACTTTATTCTGAATTTATAGACAGTGTCTTCCTTAGACCCTTAATGATTTGGGGGCGTAATCCATGAGCTGCAGCTCTTGCAAATATATGTTGGTGGGGAGAAGCACAGAAGCTTCTGCAATAGGACTCCATGCCCCATGGCACAGCAATGGCGCCCTGCGCCAATCCATGAAGTCGCTCTGCAGTAGGAACATGTCATCAGCACTGCTGCACCAGCAATAAGTGAAGACTATGATGAAGGTAGGACTTGAAGCAATGCATCGCACGTTTCAACAAATGTGGAACTAATCGTAAGTCTACCAACTAAATATTTGCTACTAGACATTTCTGTTAAATTGCAGCTGGAGGGCAAGGGAGTAGAATGGATGTGTACTCAGCTTGCTAAAGTTAAAGTGCCCTGATCCAGTGGCATGTGTATATAGCAGCTGCCCTGGCCAGCTACTTAATGATAGTGCTAATCGACAATCCAGGGAGAGGAAGAAAAGGGTCTACTGGTGCTATTCTTTATCGTTTGACTAGGGCTACTTATGCACAACTCCACCATCTAGATTGGGCGTAGAATATTATGTACAGGATAGTCTGCACCATGTTTCCTTATGCAGGCAGGTTTAGATACACAGAAGTCTATAAATATGCCCTCATCTTGGCAAGGATCCCTCTGTAGAAATAACTGCAACAAGTGTGAGTGAAAGTACCCAGTGAGGCATTGGACAGGCTAGAAATGTAATAAATTAATGAACAAATAAATACAACTCCCAGAAACCCTTGCAAAATGGCAATGGTCAGGAACACTGTGAGTTGTCTACCTACCCTAGTTTATGTGGCCACACTGTTACATTATAGCTCTGCTTATGGAATTGGAGGGGCAAATTGGCTGTAGCCTAAGATCCTCATATGCTATCACAGGATGATTAGATACTTTCTTAAAGAAGTTAACAAAAGGGAAATGTGCTGTTCTTCTCTGTTCCATGGCCACCATCAACTCCTGAAAGGTGATTCTGGGGGTGCTGTGGAAAATGTTGTCTCTGGTGCAAGAACTGCTAGTGGAAAAGGAAATCACTCAAATGACTTGAAGGCTAAACTGAAGGAAATTCATGTACAAAACTTTGCTATTCCCTGTAATCCAAGAGCTTGTCTCTCATATCCCATCCCACATTTCAAATTTCAGAAGAGTTTCCAACCCTTCACAGACACTTTAAGAAAAGGGGTCTCTGAAGATGGCTTATGGGATGAAAAGGGCAAGACAAAACTTTCCATTTGTGAATTTTCTTAAGTTACTTTAGAAATGTGCCATAATCCAAACAGATCAGCCAAACATGAATTGTTCTCCTCATTAGTAAGGAGCAAGAATTTCATTCCAGTCTGCAAATAATCCAGACTTGCCCCTTTGAACTCCAAATGCAAACATATTATTTTGGGAAATTGTCTGCACATTCCCAAATTTTAGTTTGTGGTTAAATGCATGCTTTCCAATTAACTTTTAAAAAATATTTTCACACTTTAGTCAATGGGAAGAGAAATTTTTACTTTGCAAAAATGTTCACAGATACATGAGCTTTTCTCATTAAAACAAACCAAAAATCATGCTGCAAACAAAAACAGGAGTGCACTAATCCAAGCCTCACAGTGAAGTTCAGAGAATTTTTGTGAGCTTAAATAATGCTAGCTTTCCAATCACTATTCCTTAAGTGTGTGTGTATGTGTGTGTGTGTGTGTGCATGAACAAACTTGTAATCTATTTCTTCAGGTCAGTGCAGAAGAATGTTCAGCCTTGTTTCGATTCTGTTCAGGATTCCTAAAACGATCACTAGATAAATATCCTAAACTCTCCCCACCCACCCTCCTTGTTTTAACACAATATCCTGTTTTCCTAGTTTATGTGAAGAATATAAATGGTTCTCTGAAGAGTAATACAAGTTTGTCTTAGGAAAGAGAGGAAGGTCATATTTGTTTTTCTGATTCTTAACTAATTGCTAGCCTCGGGATTCAAAACATAACCAAGAAAATGTGTTGTAGCATATTCTGCCAAGTGCCCCTTTATTGGAATACAAGAGTTCTGACTCAGCATCCCCTTTCGGAAAAGTTTGCTTTATATTGCCTGTATTGCTTGTGCTTTGCCAGTGAACACAGGATTTGAAAGCCTTCTCACTCTCCATCACAGCCACTCCTTCTTCTTCTTCTTCTTCTTCTTCTTCTTCTTCTTCTTCTTCTTCTTCTTATTATTATTATTATTATTATTATTATTATTATTATGCCAGAGATGGTATACAACAGTACAAGCACTGGCTTCATGGACACGCTGAGCTGGATATATTTGTGACACCATAGATTTGCTCACCATGGGACTATTCTTGTTTGAACAGTTGGCAAGAACTGTACAAAACCTATCCCTTTACTTCTGCATACTTTTACATGTTCTCAAAAATCCATGGAAAGTTTGCAGAAAGCTCCTGCTTTTCAAAACAACCCCTGCAGGTGCCAATCCCCCCTCCCACACACACACACACAAAACCAGATGCTCACATGCATGTACTTTATGGTGAAAATTTGCCCGCAACCCAATATTATTTAGATATCTTGAATTTCAAGTCCCATTAATGCTCCCCTGACAAACCAACATGGGCAATGGTGATGAAGGCTGAAGTTGTGATCTAAAACATTTGAACTGCACCATTTTGGATAAGGCTGTTTTAGAGGTATAAAGAAACAGGTAGCTACCACCCATCCTATTAAAACTAAGGCCCTCTCATCACTGCCACTTGCCTTTTGTATGAAGCATGTTTTCTCTATGTTTTTCCATAAAGCATTGCTGCACCATCACAGAGGCACTCATAAAGATGATACACATACACACAAATGCCCACATATATATGCACACAAATACACACACACTGATGGTTCAGACAACACAATAACTTATGTTTTGACAACCACACTCAACCCATACCCAAGCCCAGAATAATGCAAGTGGTTTATTATGGTAGATACTAGTGTTTTTGTTACTTGAAAAAAATGAACAATTTTGGATGTCAGAGAAACTGTGCGCAGTCTTTGGCCTGTGGCTTGCATGTACCCCACAGAGCCTTTGCCAGATTCCACCCAAGAGTTTCCAACCCAGACAAGGAGAGGCAGTGCCTCTCATCTCAAGCAGGACCAGAAGGCTGTTTCAAAAGTCTCACTGCCTGTGGGGTTTCACTGATCTCTGCAAAATTGCAGAGGAGTAAGAAAAGGAGTAAGAGCCTACGGATAAAGTATTATCCTCAATCTTGCCCTTACCCCTGCCTATGGGAGTGGATGGGGATGTATGTACATGAGTGTGAGGGGAAGAACCTCATCCCACCTCTTCCCATACAGATTGTAACCCTCATGGGGTTAAAAAGATATGACCCCTGTGGGTTTAAAGATAGGTTATACTTCTCTGAGGTATCATGAATTAATGCATGTCTTTCCAGAACTTTATTATGGAATGTAATATATGTCCCTTAGCTAAATGGCATGCATTTCTGATTATTGTCTTGCACTGTTTTGTTCCAAAGGACACCATATAGCGGTTTAGATCACATTGATCAGATAAATGCTGCCACCAGAACAAGGCAGTGCAAGATTTATGCTGCTCTGAAAAGCACTAGAAATGCAATGGCTGTAATATATGCCATAGTAAGGTTGTTCTTTTTCAACACTAGTTCGAGGCTTTTTTTAAGTTGCACTTTGCCCACACTACTTGACATATCTAGTTTTAAATTCCCTTGTTTTTGATGGAATTTTATCTTTTCAGAAATTTGAAGCTGAAATACAATGGAGGGCTATGATTGCAGCCCTTCTATAACAGCAAAGTTCTTATTCATAATAGTTTTAATGGCTACCATT